TTGAAATTATTTAAACATACAATGAATTGTCCATCTCTACATTAATTTCGCCCTGGATCAAACGTAATATAAAATGTTTAGTTTCAATTTGCATAATTTTATTTGTGGCAATAACCAATAAAGGGTAAAAACAAAAACTGACGAAGGCAATGAAATAACAAAGTGTCTCCGAACAAAAGAATCGTATGGTTAAAGCCGCATTATTTATGTTGGTTATAAAAATAAGCTTAGGCTCCATAAAATTATATGATCAATGGATCAACGCCACCTGCCGTCGAAGACGCGCAACTATGCCGTGCGCAAGCGCTTCTAATTGCTCACCGACTCATGCGCAGCTATTATGAACCTTACTGCTTTGCAATAAGAACTAGTTCTTCGTGCTTATCGTCGGCTATCTTCGGTTTAGCTGTCAACGCTTACGATTCCAGTGAGTGATATATTGGGTCGCGTCGTACTTAAACAGTTCTTGTAGCGTATCTACTAAACTGTTACAAGTGGTTACAAGATATCGCTATCGCGTTAGACTTGAACTAATTTCAGGTGGTAGAGCGAGACGACATGTTTTCTGGTGTTATTTACGATAGTGTTTATATCATGAAACGCAACACTCAAATTGGAAAAGCTAAAAAGTACATTTTCGAAGGTCCAGTGCCTTCAACTTATGTGAGTCACCTGAAACTCCCTTACATATTATTATATCCCTTCAAATTTATATTTTCAGTCTGAAACTATTAAGGTTCTAACTAAAATTAAGTTATTTGGAAAACTAAGATACTAAGTAAGATAGATAGAAGCAATTATGTCAGTGACTCTACATTCATGATATCTCTTCACGATAGAAACATTTTTAACTGCCACCTTTTAAACTGCTAGCGAAACAATTTTATTAGCAGAATAGCGAAAAGCAAATATTTTTCAACGAGTTTTTTTTAAATATAATAATCATTTTACCGTTTACCATAAAATAGCTATACTTTATTTACGTTACGAATCTATAATGACCGGTTGTCAGACGTTAGTATTCGTTAATTACCCACACTGGGCAAACTGAGGTAATTATCGGGTTTTTCTATACCCATTACGACACTACCATTGCCCTTTTATGGCAATCATTCCCCATGCCTTCAATTTTAGTGCGAACCAAGAAAAACTGAAGTCGCCGGCCCGCATCGGAATAGTTTCATTTTGCCGCTGAATTCTTTAAATAGAAAATTGATGGGGGCCTTTTCTGCGGTTGCAAATGAAATGTATAGGTAGTAGAAGATATTCGACTTTAAGGCCGAGTTGCACCATCTTACTTTATCTTTGACAAACGTCAAAAATCTGTCAAACTCCATACAAAAAGCACCGGTTATTGTTATTATTACAGTTAAAATAAAGTGGTGCAACTCAGCCTAAGAATCAGTGACGAGTGACATTGAGAATGTGTCGACTTTGCGACCGATTTGCGATTCCCTGCATCCCTACATTCGATAGTAAACGAGTAACTAACCAAAATCTAAGATTAAGCTACTCTCAATTGAAAATAGCTGCTGCTGTTATAATTAAGCATCATGCTACGAGTACATTTCTCATGCCTTCAACTCATGTAAAAAATAATTGCAATCGAACTCTACTGATATACCTTTCGTGAAAAAAATAAAACAATTGAATGATTCTTATAAGTATTTTTTCTACTTTTGATAAAGATTTCAAAAGAGGGAATAGACAGTTAAACGTAAGAAAGTAACGTAGGTCCTTTTGAAATGTATGTTGCAGTATAACTTTTGTGAGGCAGGAATTTTAGTTTGAATGTGAATGTTATCCATTCAATCATCTATTTGGAAGGTTTAAATTATCATCTCCGGTGTATTCCAAGCTGTTCCCATACAAAATTCCTCTAGGCTCGTTAGGAGGCAATCTCGATGCCACCCTCGCGTAAGTGGCGCAGGCGCCGGCCGTCATCACCCGAGGTGTCTGTACCCTAATTATATGGAGGAAAACACCTCACAACCAAATATTTGTACCTACCACTCATCAATCGATTTTTAACTCAGTCCGTATTGATACAAGGTTGAATTTCGATGTCAATGTGTTCGAAGTCTAAGAAAAAATGGTTCAAGAGAATTGGCGTAAAAAAGGACTTAATTACAATATGATTATGGGTTTGTTCCTGACAAAACTAACAAGCGTTTGTGTTTAATTAAGGTAATAAATAGTTATATTGTCGTTAGGCAGCTGTCGGCCGAGTGTTTGTTTTTGTTGTCTCTACTGACATGTGCTCGAAGTTGATGAATTGGTTCACTTTTTGAGGATATTGCGATTCGGTATTAATTGCTATTGTTTGCAGTGAATTAATTGGTTGCGTCTAACATTTGTTTCGATAGTTTTTTCTGTTTTGTTTTTTGCTTATCTTCTACTATTATGAGTGAGGTAGGTTTACTTGAAAATCAATTTGAGTATGATTCTAAAAATATACGAATGTCTCAATAGTAGAATAATTTACTCATTTTATTCTTGAAAAACAAAGTTTAAATATTATATTAAGTCCACAAAATAATAATGTACCTACCTACTTCGCTAAGACTAAGACTGTGTTTTAACTTTTGTCATGGTCATCGAGATTAATTTTACCTATTAGTAGGTATATTAAATCTGATTAATCATTAAATAATGCTAAATCAAAACTGAATTTTCAAGTCAACACTTTCATCTAAAAGAAAACATCTTTAGGGACGGGCTTATGTAAGTAAACATAAAGTCATCAATCACGGGACCAATCAATTATTGCCCTCTCCCTTTGCAGGCTGGATGTAGATCCACACTAGTGATGTTCCTAGAGTTTGGTTTGAGTGATATATCGATAGAGTCACTCTAGTCACGCGAGATATTTTTTATTAGAGTGACAAAAACGATGTCGTTATTGTTGTCACAATGAGAAAGTCACTTTTTTTTATTAACATTTAAGACGCATAAAGTTTGAAACCCGTAGAATTTATTTGAGCTTGCCCTAATTATGAAGCAATTTATAACGTAATTGAACTAAAACCTCTATTGAGGTTACGGATTACTTATTGCCAGAAGAATTACTTTATTACTACATACTCAATTTACATTTTGATTCCGAAGATGTTAAGCCTGGATAAAAATTATGTGTAACAGATAACTCTATATTGGTACCTTACTCACTCTACTAAAAATCGAACGGAATTTTTAAACTCGAGTTTTTACAATAAGACTGATTCGAGTCGCATCACTATCAGAGGGTCCCGGGAGACGGCAATTTGTAAGGGAATATCGGGAGTGCTGGTGGAACTGAAAAACGGGACGTTGACTTGCAGAGGTTACACTTCGCAGTACATAAATAATAAACTATCAGTCGACGCCAATAAAAATCGGTAAGCTTGTGAACAAGATGAGAACATCTATTGATATTAATCTGACTATATGAACCTTAACTTGGAACTCCTCCTGTTTTCTTCTGATTAATTTCGTTGCGGGTCCAATGACAGTTTAACTTACCCCCGGGCCCCGGGACAAACTTGACCTTCACTTCTTGGAGGTCAAGCTTTAGATCCTGGCTACAAAGGAGATGCAGCGGTGGGAACGAGAGGTGGGAATAGTCCCGTTTGAGTCTATGATCTCAAGTCAGTTTAACTGACATCACTAGTCTAGCCTTAATTAAAATACAGATTTGAATTAATTTTACTAAACATGATATCATAAATAGATAACCCAATTAATCTTTCAAACAAAATCATATGCTTATTACTCTAATTCTAAAATGCGTAAAAATACACAAGAAAACCGTTAAAAAAACGCGCCCAAAGTTGAAAGTGTAGACCTACATCATTATCAACAAAACAGAAAATTACACGGCCGAGTAACCTTTCGTTTACAAACGGCAGTGACTAAAAAACGTATAATAGACGAGGTCCGACCATAAATAATAGAATCATTAACATCTGCCTCTATGATTCTGATCATCAATTTTTTTTGGCGCCGAAAAAAGTTACCGGCCCGCGGCGCTGGCTGGTAGGCGGGAAACCAGACCTATTTTGACGGCTGTTGTTTCTATTATTTTTAATTTCCGTGTCTGTCAGACAACGGAATCGACTAATAGTTTTTGAGCCGATCTCGAGTGGATATGTCAACGTGAAATTATGAAGTCCGTCAGTTTATAAAATAACGCTAAACTAACAATGGGTTAGGTTTGGTTAGATTGTAATCTAACTACGTCAGATTATAATCTGACGGAATTCACAATTATACGGTGACATATAATATTCATTTGCTTCAATAACCAAGGAATAGACGCCTAGGAAATTAACTTCGCGAATGTGATGAGACCACATGTAAATCGCCGAGTACATGCATAATTTCTTATTAAAGTTCAATTTTAAATGGTAAACGAGAAAGCAATCGATATTGTTAATCAAACTGGTATTTTCCTTATAGCACTGCGATCATTTTTGAAATAAATAAATAAATTTAAAAGCAAACACCTTTTCACCACGTTAATAGGTTTCCCTTCTTTTTCAACGCGCTTTGGAACTCCAAAGCGCGTTGAAAAAGAAGGGAAATACCTAATAACTAATAACTATTAGTTTTACGTTCGTTCTAAAGAAATTTCAAATGTGTAGATATAAGGTCATGTCATAGTTATTAACATTAAGCTGATATCCTTGTAATTACTTCTGAACAGATATTATTTTATGGGTAATAAAATGTGTACAAGATTGTGTATAGAGGTCGGTAAAATTACTAATTAATATTGCACGTTAAACATGCTGTATTTACTATGCGTTGAGAAAAGCGTTCTGAACTTATTCTGTAATTTTCTAAGTTCTTTTATGCCAGTTACATTTTTTTCTTTTTTTAGTTCATATTTGGCAAATGTTGGCAGAGTTTCATGCGTTCTAGGTTTAAAATTCAAAAGTTAGAAAAAAAACAAAAATCTAAGGAACACACAGATTAAAATTATTTGTAGTTTTTAAATAAAAATCAAAAAGTCTACTAACCAAATGATCTGAGTGGGGGTCTCTGGGCGCACTAGGGGCCGGGTTGGGCCACAGCAACTTTGACAACATCCGTTGGCTTTGGCTATAGATGAGCTCCTACGAAGGAGAGAAAAATGAACTTTAGTATACTCAGAATAAGGCCCATTATGCCTGCGAACAAACTTGATTGGCTAACTGTATGATAAATTAAGGTAATCATACATTCGCTGCTTATGGTTATTGAAGGAAATCACATTGATTTAACTACAGTTGCTTTTGTAATGGAATGTTTAAAATTGATATCCATTAAAATAGAGATGCTTTAATAAATTAAAATGTTTAAAAAATAAAATTAAAATATTATTAGTTGCATCTAACCAAAGCTGAAACCAGGATTCAAGTCTGTCCGTCTGAAAAAAACAATAAAAAAAAATGGCAGGTGTGTAAGAAAAAAAATAGTAAATACAGATCTCAGTACGACACTAACATAACTAAAGTCACCCTACGTTCTAAGAACCGAGTGCCTGAGGCGATCCGGTGGGTTCCGTCGGGCGAATGTTGAATGAGTGAGATTATTAATAATAATAACACGTTAACCCGGCGCCCGCGCCTACGGCCGCTGACGTCATCGATGACAAACATTTGGCAAAAGCTTTGGGAATTTTTTAATTGGTTTATCTTATATCCGTACGAAATTGATAGTTCATGGAAGATTTCTTTCCTTTCTATGGCGCTTCTTTCACGATGATCTCATCCGCCATTGGACCACGCGTACCAATCAAAAGTTTTACATGAACATTGACTCTTGCCCTTTCTCTTTAATAAAATCCCAAGTTACACACTTTTCGAGCTTCTCAAACACAATGCGCAGTTATTTTGTTTCTTTATAAGTTTCTAAACAATTAATTCTACCTTTTTAATTAATCAACATACATACATATTATTTTTTGTACTTTTACGAGGCCGTATTTTACTTTCAAAACGTGTTGAAAAAAAATTGTTTGGTGTTAGCCGAATGTTGACAACTCCTGAGTGCCAAAAAGATAACAAGGGCCTAATAATAGGTTTACAAAGTTCTGGTTTACAAAACAAACAGCGGGCTAACTGGAAATTTTGGAATACACTAAACGACTTTACAATAATACCATTACGGGCACGACGTTCGAAGAAAATTGAGAAATAACTAAATAATTCATGGGAATTATCACCGTGGTTAAATTAAAGTAACCAAGTTTATCAATGGGATGTTTATATTTTTTATTTTTATTACTGTCCGGAAATGTTTACTGAAAATTGTTATTAAGATTATAAATTACGTAACTAATTGAGGGTAGTCCCAATCACTTTATAGAGTCAATATTATTTGAATAATAATGATTTATTTTTTATTTTCTGTGACTATCATTACCTTTATAAAAAGGTATCAATATTTTTATATTAGATCAGCATTGCATAGTAAATAAAGCCTCGTAATTTAATTTCCGAATGTAGAGTCGCTAACCGCTTTGTAATGTCAAAACTAATTTAATTACAATAATGTTTTAGCTTTAACTCAATAATTTTCAATATTTTCTTTTAACTATTTAGTGTAAGAACAAGTGTCTTTATAAACTCCTAATTGATACTATTTCAACGTTAACTCTTTTAACTGACACAGTAAAATAAAATCAGCACAAGTGATACCTAAACAAACAAGACGTCTGTATTTATTCGATTTATAGTTAAAAAAGGCCACAAACGACACCGGGCCGGGCATAAAACAATAAATCAAACGGTTACTCTCTCAGAGAGGTCTTGATCCGAGCAATTTAGCACAGAATTATAAATGCCTTCAATGGAAGTGAAACAGCTCAAGTTCTGGATAAGAATTAGTTTCTTTAATTAAAGAAAAAAAAAACATAAGTAAAATTTATAAGAACCCATATTTTGATTAATACTAAACAAATATTATAACATTATTATTAGTTTTCCTCATCGTTTGCTGAAAATTTAATTTGTGTTTATAACGGTTGTATCACCCAAGACGGTTTTAACAGCTTTTTCATAAATGCGACGACCGCACTTAAATATTACTAACAGTTTATGTTCATTTATTACTCACACCTTATCTATTTCGATTATTTGTATTGTATAGTAAACTAATTAATGTATTTAAGTACCCCCTTTATTGCTATCCAGCCCTTTACCTTGCACCTTGAACCCACATTTATAAACTACAAATCAAGTCGTAAACGTCGGAAATGTAGCAAATAGTAAAATGTCAAATGAGTAAAGACAAAAGACGAGCGTTTATTTCGACGAAACAGCAAATTGCCGGTCGATAAAAACAAAAGACAATCAATCAACCGTTGAAATAACCACCGAGGCGCAGTCGCTATGTCGCAACGGAGCAGTCGCCATGCGGTTGGAGTCAGTCGCTATGCGAGTTGATGATAGGGTCCGCTCCTCGACTGTTTGTTTTGCAGGCGAGAACTTTGCCCAACCTATCATTACGTTCGCGATATACTTTTTAACTCTGGCACGGCGCCATAGAGTTGCGACTTGCGTCTTACGACTGACGCATAAGTTTTTACGCAATTTGAAATTACTGTATGCTTACAGAATGCGTAAGTAACCAATTATATTTTTGAAATACGCCTTAAAATATGTATTTGGATGAATAACTATTTAAATAAATGGTATTTAAATGTTTAATTACCTCGCGGTCTTCTGTCGTTAAAAGTGGTGGACATATTTTAATTAGGTTTGCAAAAGTAACATAATTTAATTATTGAAATTGCCCAATATTATAAGATTTTAGCAAAATAATTAGCAAAATCAAAGAAATATCTGCATATCTGTGGAGTTCCCATTTAAACGCTGGGTGTCCATAACCACAGATTACTCGCTTCACGATTAAATTGTGAACTGGCTAAAAATACATGCAAATTATACTTCGACTCCTTTTTTACTTCACTTAGCTTTTGACCGTTAAGCTGTAGTATAAAGTCACTACATATTACCTGATCAATGGGTCAAATAAGAAAAAATAAGCCAGTGCCATATCTCAATTTCAAAAAGATAAACATATTCAGAAGTAACTAAACATCTGTCAAGAACTGAACCCATATCACCTCAATAAATTACCGAAATTTTCACTTAAAACTTGCGCATAATTTGCGCTGCCAATAAGCTGGTTAAGGTCAGAGCAATATAACATTGTCTCTCATTTGACAGGTTCAAATTAAAACGTAAAATGCCGGAGGTGAATCGTTAAGTGAAGAAAAATGGACCCACCCACATGAAGCAACAAAGCCACGGTGATGTGTTAAGGACGGACCACACGTGCTCGCGTCAGTACGCTATGTAAATGTACAGGTAACAGCACGTCAGATTATACATATTTGTTGCATAATCAGCCCTATTACAACTGTATAAGACACCTCAGTATTGAACTTGATGTGCTGGCTTTAGTCTGTAAAGCTGTGACGCCTGTCACAGCAATAATAATACTATATTATTTAAATAAAAAAGCTGAATCAAGTGTGTACGTAACCACCACATATCGATGGGACAAGTCTATCTTTTTCGCTACAATCAGATTTACAGATCATGTTAACATTGCTCTTTTAAAGACCTAATTTTGCTTTTAGTTTCTTAAAATAAAAGCTTTCAAAACTAATTTCAAAGCAAACTAAACTGTGTCTGTTTTTTCCACAGTACACTTCCAATTCAAATTTTATCCTCAGTCAACTAAGCTGCTGTCAACACCTGTCAACGTCACCCAACAAAATTCGAACTGCCCCGAACAAGTGTAGATCAGCCCTAATCCAGACGTTCGGATATACCTTGTAAGACCTGTAACTAATGGTTACAGGATATTTATAGCACGGTAGTAAGTTATACTGCGCGTTTCAATTACTATAGCAAAGATTAACATGTCAATTCTCCACGAATTATGTGTGTCAGCATAGCTACGCCTAAGGCTTCGTAGTAATAGTAGAGGAAATAACTAGTATTATAAGTTATGTGATATGTTTGTTAATTTTTGATTGACAGGCGGTTTGGGCATGTATTTGAATGGAGTCAAGGTTTGGTTTGATATTGAGGTTTGGAAGTTTTATTTTCTAATAACGGTTCAGTATTCCTCACAAATGAGCTTTCGTAACATGTTAAAAGGCAGCACTTTAAATACTTATTATAATGATCGATCTAAAGTAATTTGGTAGGAAATCCGTTTTTTATCTGCTGCCAAGCTTAAGATAATCATCTCAAAACGCGTAATCGCGTAAATCCTTAGGCCTACGCTCGATCATATCCTTAATTCCTAACCAGGGATGCTTTACGACGTAATGCTACAACATCAGAATTTAATTTACAATGCCGTGAGTGGTGTTTACACGAAATTGCCCACCAGTGCTTTGCTGTAAGTCCAGTAATTTCGAACCACCAACGTCGATTGTTGAAAACGTTGACAAATCTTGGCTCGTTGGAAATGTAAGGTGTAATTACTTAAGACGAAATAACACGTGGAGGACTTAATCAGTTCGGCATCAGCTGGAGAGCTGCAATTAGGCAGTTGTACAAATATGAATGGAGAGGGCGAAGGCACGCCTCGCGACGCCGGAGGCTACTCGTAAATAGCCTCGATTCTAAAGAAAGAATGTATTGGAAGCAGACAACATTCTCTATTTTATGGTGTATGCTTTGTTTGCGATTTTGAGGATATGGAAACGTCTGCTAAGAAAGATGTAGCCAAGACCTCAAGGGCGTAATCGCGTAAGTATGTAAAGAACAACAGTCAAGACAAAAATAAACATTTTCGCAAATTAAAATTTTAAATGTAGGTAAGTACCATTGATACACCTGCTTGACTACTATTATTCAACCATACTACAGATATCGATATACATATACCTGCTTATAGAAACCATTGTCAAACAGCGGCATGATTCAGAGGTGCCGACTTTTTTCCCAGCCCCACGGAGCTAGTTAGTATCTCCGATCTATCCAATAAACCGCGACGTATATGGGCGCAGGCGCCGGCGCAGCGAAAGATCAACACTAATTAAGCACCATAAAACCGAAATCGTTACCTTTCACCGCCGGTAACAAATTCAGTTAAGACAGATGAAAAA